ACAGATACAGATACAGATACAGATACAGATACAGATACAGATACAGATACAGATTGATAGATAGATTGATTTGTTAAGATTGGTTTATTAACTTTATTCCATATATGCATTATTATATGGACTTTTTGTTTCATTTTTATCAAAATACTAATAATCTTCTTACTCAATTAAGTAGTAATGTTTATCTAATCTAACCAGTGCTACTAGTACAATACATGAACTCCTTATAACAGCGCAGAGAGAATGCTTCTTTATAGCTATCCCCAATGAGTTGCTAAGCGCCTCTAATGAGATACCCGTCATTTGTGGGGCATGAGGGTGGTATAACGCGTTGTCAAGTATAATTTAATAAATTTATGATGATTACAACAATGAAGCGCAAAGATTGAAAGACTGCAACGCATCTACATGCACACATACACCCACAAAAGGCAATCAGATTGTTGGAGTTCTCTAGGAGGGCGTGCCACAAGGGCAACAGCCAACTGCGGGAATGTATTGGGGTTTGTGTTGGCGGAGTCTTATACTTATTTGCAATGACAACGCTCGAGAGTTGAACTCGAGTTACACTCGGAAATGCTCGTTTATGCGAATTAATAATTTAAAATTGCTTTGACACTTAGCAACGGCTTTTCACATGACCCGATGACTAACACAAAAGCAACAAGAAGGGCAATTTTTCAGGGTGCACGCACATAAAGAAGGCTTTTCATTTTCGCATTTATGTTTTGTTCTTTAGGTACAGCGAAGCATAATAAAGCAAACACAAAAGCTTACACACGTACACACACACGAACACATGTTTACGGTAAACGAAAATGCTCCCAAAAAATGTGTTTTGCCATAAAAACACAACAAAACATAATGTTGGCGCTCCCAGAAAAGAGGAAAGAAAAAAAAAACACGCACACACCTATACAAACAGAGGAACTAAAACAAAGATAGAAATCAAGCTATGCAGAGAGTGTGGAGCGCCTAGCTGAGCATACGAAAAGGCAATGTACTCTCCACGCTTGTTCATGTGTTAGTGACTATTGAAAAATGGGAGAGTGCAAAAAGAGAGGAGAGCTTAATTTATGTGCATCGCCACAGCGCGCTGCGTGCTTTAATACACTTGTATTCGAAAAGCAACAGTTAGGCATTAGAAAGAAACAGGGGCGTAGCTAAAACAATGAAGATGCAGCCAGACTATATTGAGGAAGGAAATGCTTATAAAATTAATAATATTATAAACTAAATCAGCGGCAATTGTATGTGACAAAGTGAAAACTTTGATTGTTAAACGCAGAAGTTGCTTATAAAATTCAAGTGAAGTTATTGTGGTAATTCACTATATAACGAAACACTTTTCATTATAATCACATTTATTAGTTAATATTATATATTATATATTAGTTAATATTATACTATTAAATTACTAATATATATTTAAATATTTTAAGCATATATATTTATTTAAATCAGCAGTATTATGTGTTCATTTACCCGCTGCAGCGCTCCTGTAATTCACCCTGCCACCCAGCTGTCTGGCCACTGTCTGCAGACAGTCATTTCGCATATACAAGAAAGAGAGAGAGAGAGATAGGTTGCGAGAGGCGTTCACTGTACTACTGAAAGCCATCAGAACACAAATTTCGGATGACGCCTGCAAGGCAACCCACCCACTGCCCGCCCAATGTGAAGAAGCTTTCTGTTTGGCCGCTTTTTGTTTTTGTTTTGCTTTTTTCTTGTTGCTGGCAAAAGCGTTCAACAGCTGTCTGTACGCGAATACTCGAATGCTCGTGTCGTATACGTGTAGCTTTCGCTGCACTTGTATGTGTGTTGACTGAGAGGCGAGCGCTGCAAGTGTGCGTGTTGAGCAGCGCAGTAACTGAAGACCGAGCTGTCGACGCTGCTGTCGCTGTCGATGTCGCTGTCGGTTTGGCCACCACATTTTGTGGTTCAGTTGGTGATCTTTCGCCGAGAGCGCAACACGCAGCACGCAACGAGAATCGAGTGGCAAACAGTTAGCTGTGTTTTATTTGTGTGTGTGTGTGTCTGTGTGCGTGCGTTAGCATTACATTGAATTCTCGTTACGCCAAATATTGGAATAACAATAAAACAACAAAAAATAAGCAAAATTAAAAAAATAAACATTCATTACGTGCTGATTCCTGAAGCGAATAATCAGAAAGCATACGTATATAAGTACTCAAATTGAGTGCTTAGGCATTACGGCAAAAATATTTGTATTCAAATTCTTACGTACCCCGTTCACCATCCACGTGAGCAACAAATAGCAATCGCAATCAAAATACGTGAATAAATACATATTTATACATACATATACATTTATAAATAAAATTCACAGCGTACACTCACGACTTGTAATAACTATTCGAATTCGTAAAACAAAAACACACGAAAAGTAAAATAAGGAAAAGAGCGCCAAACAATGTCGAAGAACAACGGTAAAAATGAAATATACGAAAATCAATTTCCGCAACCGGCTAAGAAGAAAACCATCTCGGAGATGATCTATGATCCAAGCAATGGCACTATTTTCGGTCGCACCAGCAAAAGTTGGGGTAAGTGAATCAATAAATTATACCCAAAAATTTGCTGACCAAAAATAAAATACATATGATATACTCGAAGCTGAAATCAAGTGCAGCACCCTCTCTAATCACGCACACTCGACTGATTCTGAAAGCAAAGCTTTGCGTAGAGTTCGGCCGAAGGATAGAGTACAATCGCTCTGCTTGCCGAGAACTCTCTTCATCAGATGCATAGAGAGCCTAGCCTTAACCCACTCGCTTGTCAGTTCGCTCTCTCAGACTTTATTATGGGATTACGTAGATTGGCCCTACGTTAATCGAGTGCCAAGTCACAAAGAAGAAAAGGCGAAAGAATCAAATGTGTAAAATACTTACATATATTTACATATGCTGTACACACACATGTACATTTACATGTTTGTAACTGTGCGTAAGTGTGTGTACATGCAATTCGGTCATTCGAAAATGAGTGCAAATAAAATATAAAACTCGCTTATCAGCTGCTACTACTTACTCTCTCTCTCTCCCCACTCTCCCCTCGCTCTATCTCTCTGTCTGTCTCTCACTGTTTGTAGTTATTTGAGCGATGAAATGCAAAACAAGCTTTCGATGTCATTGCCACATGTAGAACTCTTACGAGCAGATAAAACTCGAAACTAGATAAAATTTATATGGTATATACATACATACATATACATATATTGTATGTGACAAGCAAATTAATTAACATGCATAATATATTATAGATGTAGACGTATACGTATGTACATACATACATATATGTATATACATACATTTCTGCATACATACGCAAGCTTTCTTGATTTGCGGTTTTTCTTATGTAGCTATTCAATAATTTCTAGCGGCGTGAATAATATAAAAATTGTAATTTTATATAAATAGTTTCTTGAAGTGATGAAACATAATTCAAGGCAGCAATTTTGTTCATAAAAGATTTCAATTTTAACACTTATGTTAAAAATCAAAATCACGTAAAATTCCATTTGCTTTTTAAGCAATTATTACTCATACAAAAATATTTTTAATTGCTTAAGAAAATGATTCATATTTGATAAAC